ATAATTTGATAGCTTAATCACAGATCAATCATGAAATTTCCAGGCAAATTTGCCTGGAAAACAGTTTAAGGGATAATTGTTTTTTAAATTGTTTGTTTTAGGATAATGCACTAGAGTAATAATGAAATATATAAATCTTAGAAATTATTGAGTCAAGATTTTTATTATTACATAATGTTTATTTTCAATAATTATAATTTATTTATATGCTAATATAATAATATATTTTTAATTATTATATATTAATTACGAGTAAGTATAAGTTTATTATTTGGCCATACAAATTTATTATATTGATTTTCATAACTGAAACTTTTAAACAGATTGACTGGCGGCTTTTTTTAAAATTCCATATATAAAAATTATACATATATTTTTTTAAAAAAACCTAGGTAACTACATCGCTGTTTTCGGACCTTCAGTCCGGAGGCAGTGATGTAATTTCCGGAGAGTCAGGTAATTTACCGAATGACCAAAAAGATTTCGGGTAGGAGCAGGTGTTCAAAAATTATGATAATAGCTGTAAAACATAAAATTTTTCAAATTTTGACCCAGCTAGATTTTGAAAATTAATAAACTAATTTTGGATGGCCTTATTATAGATTTTTAATCATAAATAATTAGTAATTTTTAAACTTAAATTATTAATCTTTTAGTATAAAATTAACTATATATCCTTATATTAATTAGCAAGTAAGTATACCTTTTATAATAAATTTATATCCTTTTTTATTAATTTTAAAATTAATATTAAAAATATTATTAATTTGTTTATAATGAATTAGAAAGTAAGTATAGAAACCAGTATTAAAAGAGTTTATACATATTATCAATTTATTTATGTTACTTTTATATAAACTAGAGAGTAAGTCATTTAAAGTATATGTATTACAAGATTTACCTTTATTGTAAGTATAAAATTAAGCTTGATATATATATTAAGAGGGTGCAGGTCAAATGCCGCAGGTCATAATCTCGACAATTAAAAATCCTGATAGCCAGAATTTCTAGGTAGAAAATCCCAAGTATGGAATATGCTTAAAACGAAATAGACTCTCATAATTCCATTAACTTTAGAGTTCGGTCATTTTAGATAAGGGTTAAGATATGGTTTGCTATGGTCTATAATATTTTTTATCAAAATTTGTAATTGCCAGAATTGTTATCTGCCTGGATTTTTAGCTGTCGGGATTTTTAGCTGTCGGGATTATGACCTTTCGGGATTCTGTCTGTCGAGATTTTCGCCCAAACCCATATTAAGAAATTATAAATACTTAATATATATGTATATTATATTAGGTAATAATTATAATATTTATATTATTCTTCATGATTTAGAAAGTAAGTATATAATTCATTTTAATTAATTATACTGTATAAAATATATTTACAAAAATTAATACTTTTTATATTAGAAAGAAAAATGAAACTATCGATGGAAATTTATTAGATTTGATTCCAAATAATTTTGGTGATATAATGCCATTAAGAGAAACAAGTACATTATTACCAAATGAATTTAGTGATTTAGAAAGAATTTGTTTAACTGCTAATGGTAATTTGCAAAGGATTTTAAGGTATGTTAATACACATAAAATTTTAAGTATTATAAAATTTGTTAAAATAACCAAATAAAACTAATATATATTTGTTACTAATTAATTCTAATCAATTAAAATAGTTCATGGTTTAACAAACCTGTAAAAGTACAAATTATAAAAAATGATAATGTTCCTATTCATTATCAGAAATTATCTACAAATGTTAATGCAATTTTACAAAAATTTGATCGAGAAGTCAATCTTATATGTGAAAGTAAAATAATTTGTAATGCTGTAAGTGAGGTTCTAATTTATGATAAAGAGATTGTAGATTTGGTTATGAACAAAGGCGTAGGAATTGGTCAACTATTCAGGTAAACATTTAAACATTATATAAAATTTAATAATTCTAATATCTAATATCTAATATTAATAGATATCTTGGCAGATTACCCTTCTTTCAATTGCATTTGGTTGGAAAAAATAGGACTACATGGTGGAGAGAATATACTTTAAAAAGTGTTGAAGTTGAATGTAAAATTAAAGAAACTTTTCCAAATGGAATGTTTGAAAATGGATGGATTGAAATTAAGCCAACTAATTTTAACAATGAAAAAGATAATTTTAGTAATAATGTACAAGGGTCAAATAATGATAGCAAAGTATGGTCAATTGATTTATTAATTTAAAATAGAATTAGGTATTTCATTATTACTGAAAATATTACAGTTAAATTTTAGCATTAAATATATTTTTTATATGTTTACTAAATTTTAAATGCTAGAGATAATTATTTGGAGTTAATTTTTTATGTCTCTTGTTATTAAATATTTAACTGGATCTTTTGAAGAATAGGTGCCACCTTCGGCAAGTTTTCCAGAAAAACTCAAAAATACAAAAATTGCCTGCAACAGGCACGTCATTTTACAATCACTTTACTGACACCGACAAGTTTATTTCGATGACAATTAATTCATCGACAAGTTTTTTAAATAAATTATACTAGCCTTGACTCTGATACTAGCCTAACCTAACAACAATAACCAGAATTATTTTGTCTGTGAAATGTGCTATTGGTGAAATAAACTGTCAGTAAAATGAATTTGTTAGTCAATTAGTTCGGTGTACTAAGGAGTTCAATTTACATTTTTATTCAGCCTTTAAAACATACTAGTCCTAAACTGTCGGGAAAATTTTCAAAATTAATAAAATTTCAAATTAATTTAAACTTTTAATATTATGGCTGTTCTTATAATTAAGTTATTGATTTCGGAATGATTGGTATACAAATGAGTTTGTATTTATTGTTTTTTATTATTTCGCAGGAAGATCGTCCTAACTATTGTGATTCGCAAATCGGCGAGTATATAGTGTGAGACCCGAAAACGTGACCGGTACACGTGACGAAGATCCCAAATGTCGGAAATGTCAGGTATGTCAGATATATC